AGACCTACAAGGGGCAGCTTTCTCAACCCAAGTCAATCATTGCCTTCATGAGCAATAGGAGTTTGATGCTGCCAAGTTCTCTGTTTTATGTTTTCAAGAAAATCCAGCAATCTGCATTTTTAGATAATATCCTCAAACTTTTAAACGACTCAAAATTCTTTAAGATATTACTTAGGCCAAACAAAAAAAAATGACTCTTGGGCTGATTCAGATACTAGTTTATCACCTCTGGGCTAGAGTCTAAAAACTCTTTACTGCACCCAAATTAGACCAGTGTCTGTCTGGTTCACCATGTGCCTGATTTACATATTGGCAGGACATGGCAACTAGGCTGAAGCATCACTGGGTAGACAACAGAAATCAGGTTTGGAGCTTCTATTCACAAAGACCTAGAATAAACAAATAAACAAACAAACAAACAAATAAGGTGCCTGGATGGCTCAGCCGGTTAAGCTTCAGACTCTTGATTTCGGCTCAGGTCATGATCTCATTATTGTGAGATCAAGCCCCACACTAAGCATGGAGCCTGATTAAGATTCTCTCACAGTGCTTAGGGGTCTCAGTTGGTTGGGCATCTGCCTTTGGCTGAGCTCATGATCCCAATGTCCTGGGACTGAGCCTCACATCTGGCTCCCAGCTTAGCAGGCAGTCTATTTGTCCCTCTCCCTCTGCCCCAATACTCATGCTCTCTCTCTCAAACAATAAAACCTTAAAAGAAGAAGGAGGAGGAGGAGAAGGAAGGGGAGGAGGAGGAAGAGGAGGAGGAGGAGAATATGATTCTTTCTCTCTTTTGCGGTGCTTGGATGGCTCAGTAAGTTAAGCATCTGACTTTGGCTCAGGTCCTGAGATCAAGCCCTGGTTTGATCTTACTCAGCAGGGAATCTGCTTCTCCCTCTCTCTCTACCGCTCTCTCCACTCATGCTCTCTCGCGCACTCTCAAATAAATAAATAAATAATCTTTAAAAAGGGGGGCGCCTGGGTAGCTCAGTGGGTTAAAGCCTCAGCATTTGGCTCGGGTCATGATCCCAGGGTGCATTAGGCTCTCCACTCAGCAGGGAGCCTGCTTCCCCATCTCTCTCTCTCTGGCTGCCTCTCTGCCTACTTGTGATCTCTGTCAAATAAATAAATAAAATCTGAAAAAAAAAATAAAAATCTTTAAAAGAAAAAAAGATTCTTTCCTTCTCCCTCTGCCCCTCCCCCTGGCGTTTTCTCTCTCAATAAACAAACCAACCAACCTAATTAATTAATTAAAATTTTTAAAAAAGAAAGACCTGGTTATATCGTTTATATCATCAACACCTATACCTCTTCCTCAAACACAGACAACATATTGTTCTCAAATTTCCTAGTAGTCTCTTAAAACTGCCCAACTATATACTAACATGGTCAGAAATATACTAAGATATACTATATACTAACTGAAAATATACTGACATAGCCAGGGGAATGATTCAAAAACAAGCATTCTTCACTAAAGTAAGAGTATTTGAGGGGCACCTGACTGGCTCAGTTGGTGCAGCATATACTGTTAATCTTGGGGTTGTTGAATTCAAGCCCCACGTTGGGTATGGAGCCTACTTTAAAAAAATAAATAGAATATTTAAAAAATAATAAAGTAGGAGTACTTGAAACCCTATAAGATAAATTCTAAATGCAAATAGGGGAGTACTGTTCTGCTGTGCAAGCTGAAAAGGACTTTATTTAGTGCATATACAAACTCTCATTTCATAAGCAACATGAACAAATCTATGGTCTTTATTTTTTCCTTGTTGGAAGGTTATTCTAAAGGAAATTTCATTAAAACTGGAAAATGCTGGGGGCGCCTGGGTGGCTCAGTGGGTTAAGCCTCTGCCTTCGGCTCAGGTCATGATCTCAGGGTCCTGGGATCGAGTCCTGCATCGGGCTCTCTGCTCAGCAGGGAGCCTGCTTCCCTCTCTCTGTCTCTCTGCCTGCCTCTCTGTCTACTTGTGATCTCTCTCTGTCAAATAAATAAATAAAATATTTTAAAAATAAATAAATAAAACTGGAAAATGCTGTTATTGTTCAAATTCTTTTGAGAAAGAAAAATAATTTATTTTAGATGCCTATTTTTTGACTCTTAGATACTCTTAGAAGAACATTCTTTGACAAATGACAAATCTTATGTTCAAGTTTATACCTACTTCATTCATACCATAGTACAACTTACCCTTTTACAGATTATAGAATTTTCTAAAGAATGTCAGCTGCATGAATTTTTAACTACTATATAATTCAAAACTTCCCTTATAATACTCTTCAAGATTGTGACATAAAAAAATTTTCCTCTGAAAACTGAAATCCGTTTTCATTGCAATTTTCCCTTCTGTATTTTTTTTCACAAGTATGAAATATGATTTCTCTTTACACTTCTCAAGAAAGTCTGTAAAGCCTTTTCAGAAAGGCTGGTCTTTAAGATCATTCAAGATTTCTACTCCCTAGGAAAGGCAGTGTGTAGGCAGAATGATGAATCCCCCAAAGTTATCTGTGTCCTAATCCTCAGAATTTATTAATATGTTACTTTAGGTGGAAAAAGGGACTCTGTAGGAATGGCTTAATTAAGGATCTTGAAGTGGGGAGATGATTCTGGATTATCTGGGTTGGCCTAATGTAACCACAAGGGTCCTCATAAGTGAAAGATGGGGAGGAGAGTTAAGAGAGAAGTTGTGACATCAAGAAAGCAGAGATTGGAGTGATGTGATCGTTGAAGAAGGAGAGGGGCCACAAGCCAAGGTATGAGGACAGCTCCTAGAAGCTAGAAAAGGGAAGAAAATAGCTTGTCCCCTAAAAACTCCAGAAGGAATGCAGCCTTGCTGATTTTAGGCCTGTGATCCCTTTCAGACATCTGACCTTCAGAACTGAAAGGTAATCAGTTTGTCTTGTTATAAGCCACTAACTTTGTGGTCACTTGTTACAGTAGCCACAGACAACTGAAACAGACAGCAACCAGCCCTCCCCAGGGATAGATACCAGGAGGGGTTTTAACTGGTATTTTACATTCTTTTTGGGTAAGAGACTAATCAAAGGTTACCAGAGTTAGTAAAAAGCCCTGTGCCTTCCTCCTCACAAGACCCTCAACAAGTCATCATCCAGCCTCTAGCTGAACGCCTTCTACATAGAAAACTCATCATCTCTCATAAATACCTGATGGACTTCAGATACCTTTAAGTATTAGAAAATTAATTCCTGTACTAATCTGAGGCCAAAACCTGGGCTCCTTACTTAACTCTCAGATCAGTGTTCTTTTCATTCAATTTCATTGAATGAGGTATTTAGATAACAAGTTTACAATATAAAATATTTCAAAATAAAGTGCACAAGATTCCTAGTAGATCCTATAGGAATGACAATATTTACTTTTTAAAGCATTGTTTTTATTATAGCAAATACAAAATTATTTTTAAAAACTATGTTGGCTACCCTCAATTTAAATTAAATAATTTAATTGCATTAGAGAGAGAAGAAGAAATTTAGGAGGAATTATCACTTGTTCACTCACAAACATTACATGTTACAACTTACATCAAGTGAGTCAAGAAACATACCCTTATTTTCCACAGTTGAATTTGCATTAAGCATTACTTTTTGTTAGCATCTTTAATAACCCTAGAAGAATAATAATTCCATTTTCATTATAATTAGTATACATACAGGCTTAAACAAATTCCACTAGCTATATCTTCCCATTTTATCATATCATATAAATCCTTATTAAACCAGTGAAATCAAATCAGAAGGAATATGGATTCACATACAACTCAGTCTCAAAATCCAGTTCCTTAATAGTCTTATGATTTTTAACAGATCGTTAAGCTTCTGAGCCTTAGTGTCATTATCTGTAAAATGGGAGTAAAACTTACACAGGCTTATGGTTGCATAAAATAACATGGATCAAAGGGGTAATACCATGTCAAACCCAGGGTAGGTACATAATAAATATTAATTCCTTTCCCCACTCCAGATAATGCAAAATAAGGAAATAAAAAAAGGAGTACTGTTAAGAATAGGAGCATTTAGCCATTAAGACAAAAATGTTTGAGAATATAAAATAAAATTTACCGGCAGAGTGTGAGAATTCTCTAAATGCCTACACAATTCAACATTATGCCAACTCGTGGTTAAATGTAATTTTCCAAATGTGCCATCACTTTTGAAACAACTTTCTTCATTTATCAGTAATTTCTAAGTACATACCCAATCAATAACTGACAAGGAATCATAAGCCATCGTGAGTTGAATGTCAGAGAGAGCCAAACGTCAAAAACAGAAAAGTTTACTCTCTAAATTGTGTGGATTTAAATATATGTTACTCTATCTGATACGGTATGACGCCCCACCTACCCTCGACCACCTCTTTAAAATCGAGGACGCCTGGGAATAAGATGTCTGGAAAGGGCTTAAGAAATCAGGGAGGAAAAGCAACGGAATTAAACAACTTCCTGAACCCATCCGTGGCCACGGAAAGTTGCCGCCTCTCTAATCCCGAACTAAAGCTACTGCGGCCACAAACGGCATGGTATCTGCGGATCTCGGCGCTGGCCAGTCTACGCCTGTCCTAAGAAATTAGACTGGAGTTTTCCCTTTCTGCACGACCCACAGCTCAGGCGAGAACACGCCAGCACGCGGCGGGGACCCACTCGGGTGACTCCCACATATCCGGAGACTCCGTTTCCACAGCCAACACCCACCACGTCTTGAGACCCCCTCTCCCCAAGCTCTTTCTGCGCCCGCCTCGCCCCAAGATTCGCACATGCGTACACCCAATTAAGAGAGGTTAGAGCGCTCCCCCTCGGTGTGAGTCCCCACGCCCATCTGCCACGCAGCCAGTCCTCCTGCCCTTCTTCGGGCCGCCGGCTTCGCTATTCAGTACTACGCATGTGTAAGACGGTACCGCCCGGCAACCCTTTAGCCGGCAGGGGTGGGGCGGCAGGCGGGACCGAGTTTCTTGCGCACGCTCGGGACATGCGCAGTGCAGCGGCTGAGGCGCCAGCTGTCGATTTGGAAGTTCCGGGGAAGCAGCGCATGCGCGAGTGTACGCGTTGCCGGCGAAGAGGGGACCCTGACGACTCGGAAATTTGAATACCACAGTAGCATGGAGTGTGACCTCATGGAGACTGACATCTTGGAGTCGTTGGAAGATCTAGGGTAAGACTGCCAGGGTACGGGTCTCCTAAACCTCACACTGCCGGCCCCCGGGAACACGTCCTCCGCCCCAGTCAGGGACACCTGCCTCTGCACGCCGCACCCGGTGGCTCCTGACTGTCTCCTCCTTATGGCTCTGGGACCCCAATGCCACGTCCACTGTCAGCCCTGCCGGGCCGGGGCTTTCCTAAAGCGACGACCCTAGGCCTGCTGTGTGCTCCCTGCAGCCGAGTTACCCGCAGCGTTTGTCAGTCATGCGTGTCATTGTCTGGGCTCTGGGTTCTTGCCACCCCCCTCCCTGAGCTTCTCGTCTTGCTCCCCATCTTCTTGCCTTACCCCCTCACTGTAGAGGTTGCTAAAGTTGATTCTCTTTTTTTCCTAGTTGTCCTCCAAACTTCCTGCTCCTCTCTTGAGCCCGTATTCCTAATCCACCCCATTTCTCTCCAAAAAATCTCCTTTGCCCAGTCATCTCTGCATGCACTCCGGCTTCTCTGAGCCACACGTCTGCCTCTGTTCGCTAGCCAGCTCTCTTATGCACCTCACCTGTCACCACCTTAATGGGAACCATTCACTGGCTGTTTTCCTAAACAGTGACACAGTACGTCGTCGAGCCACCATTAGCCCTTACTCTATGAGGCATCTTCAGCCACCAAGTCCCTACCTGTTTGTTGTGTATTTCGTCTATTCTGACAATTACCCAACCATAATTTAGTACCTAGAAGCTGGAAATAGGGCTTTTTACCTCACTGGGTCACTGAGATTAGCGTACTCTTTAAAACTTGAGAATTTAGGGGCGCCTGGTTGGCTCAGTCCTTAAGCGTCTGCCTTTGGCTCAGGTCGTGATCCCAGGGTCCTGGGATGGAGCCCCGCATGGGCTCCCTGCTCAGCAGGAGGCCTGCTTTCCTTCTCTCACTCACCCTGCTTGTGTTCCTGTTCTCTCTCTCCCTCTTTGTCAAATAAATAAAACCTTTTTTAAAAAAAGATAAAAACCCAAAAATGAGAATTTAGAACCTCTTGGTCCAACCGTGTTTCCAGAAACAAATTGTGTGATTAAATATTTGTCTACAGGTAAATGGTGTCCAAAATATAGATAGATAGATTTAGCTAGCTATATTTATAAAGTGACAAGTCCTTTATCAAAACCCTCCGCAAAAGTTTTTCCATGACATGGAAACCTTTGGAGGAACCTTTCTTTAGGAAGGGACACCGTCAGGTTGTCAGATCTGCCCATTAAGTCATTTGCTGTCCTGATGGAAGTTTTTGGGAAAAGAAGTGGTAGTGCTTAAATCTTTTTTCTTTTTCTTTTTTAAAGATTTTATTTATTTATTTGACAGAGAGAGAGATCACAAGTAGGCAGAGAGAGAGGAGGAAGCAGGCTCCCTGCTGAGCAGAGAGCCCGATGCGGGGCTCGATTCCAGGACCCTGGGATCATGACCTGAGCCGAAGGCAGAGGCTTTAGCCCACTGAGCCACCCAGGCGCCCCAATAAACAAAATCTTTAAAAAAAAAAAAAGTTTATTTTAGTAATTGTAAATCAAGTAAATATTCAAGATGGGTTATAATGTAAACCGTCAGATTTTCTGAAAACTTTGCTATAAATTTTAAGCCTAACCACTTAGTTTGGTGGCACTCAGTCATTAAAATTCAGGCTTAATTAATTGACATGTACTTTTATTTTTTTTTTTTTTAAAGATTTTATTTATTTATTTGACAGAGAGAGATCACAAGTATGCAGAGAGGCAGGCAGAGAGAGAGGAGGAAGCAGGCTCCCTGTTGAGCAGAGAGCCCGATGTGGGGCTTGAACCCAGGACCTGGGATCATGACCTGAGCCGAAGGCAGCGGCTTAACCCACTGAGCCACCCAGGCGCCCCGACATGTACTTTTAAAGGATTCACTGAGAAATACTAGAATTTTAAATGACTATCTTTTGTCTTTAATGCGGCACACGGTAGGAATTCAGTAACTACTTACAGAATAAACTAACAAATTATAAATGTGTAACACAAGAGAGATTTCTAGGCCTAGTGTCTTTTTTTTTTTTTAAGATTTTATTTATTTATTTGACAGAGATCACAAGCAGGCAGAGAGGCAGGCAGAGAGAGAGGAGAAAGCAGGCTCCCTGTGGAGCAGAGAGCCCGATGTGGGGCTCGATCCCAGGACCTGGGATCATGACCCGAGCCGAAGGCAGAGGCTTAACCCACTGAGCCACCCAGGTGCCCCTTGTGTCTTTATTGCAGTGTCTAATTATATGTGGTTTGAATCTAGATGTCAGACTATATATAATCTCACTTTTTTTTTTTTTGAAAATTTTATTTATTGGACAGAGTGAGAGAGATAAGTAGGCAGAGAGGCAGGCAGAGAGAGGGGAGGAAGCAGGTTCCCTACTGAGTAGGAAGCCCAATGAGCGGCTTGATCCCAGGACCCTGAGACCATGACCTGAGCTGAAGGCAGAGGCTTAACCCACTGAGCCCCCCCAGGCGCCCCTATAATAATCTCACTTTTTATGTAAGATTTTTTCCCATTCCATTCAGTGTATAAATACATAGGTGCATTTTAAAAGAATCAAGTATTGTCATTTCTCTAACATCTCTATACTTCCAAACATCAAATTATCTTAAGTATATTTAATGTTTCACCTCCAATAACTTTTTATCAATATTTCACTTAAAAGTTAAAATAATCTTCTGGAAAATATATATTTTTAAATTACCCTGAAAATGACAGGATCTTTAGTTCTAGATGTATTCTAGATATCACTATTGTCTTTTATGAATGTTTGGATATTTAATAATACTTAAGAATTATGCTTGAATCATTTTCAAAGGAATAGGATTCAGATGCACCAGTTCACCTAGACATTAACTTGCCAGCAATTACTAATCTTTTAAATTAATCCAGACATTTCTCTTGTACTAGTATGTCTTAATAGCTTTAACTGTCATTAAATATGGTAAAAGGAAATAAATGATTAACTGGAAAGTTTTTTGCTTTTAAAAAATGTAACAAAACAAAACTAACCTAATTGATTTCTGGAAAAATTTCTAGAAAAGGTAACTTATATTTTATTTCTGAAATCGTAAACTATAGTATAATCACTTGTTAATGTTACAGTATGTTACTTGTTAATGGGGTTTTAATATTCAATTCAGTTAAGAAAATCTTTGTACAGCAAGAGCTTTCAGTATAATGTACAGAAGTTGACATAATTTAGTAGTATATATAATTCTTAAATATGTATATTTTGAAGGGTGGAAATGCAGTTATGTAACTTATTTTTCTAATAGATTTTATTAGATTAAAATTTAAATTTTAGATTTAGTTTTCTATAAATTTTATTTACATTTTTAAGTTTGCAAAGTGGTTATCGTAACTTGTGAAATGATTGTTTATTCATACAAATAATATGTATATAGTGTTTGTATAAAATATTAGGTGTGATTTTTTTTTTTTTTTTTTTATTCTGAAGTATAATTTTTTACTCACCAGTTACAAGGGTCCATTGTTGGAAGATGGCGCTCTATCTCAGGCAGTCTCTGCTGGAGCCAGTTCCCCCGAGTTTACCAAACTCTGTGCTTGGCTGGTGTCTGAATTAAGAGTGTTCTGTAAATTAGAGGAAAATGTGCAAGCAACTAACAGTAAGTAAACATTCAGTTTTAGATACAAAATATAAAAGTAAAATTGGGGTATTGTCAGTTGAACATTTTAGTACTAAACCTGAAGTTTTAAGTTTTTGTGAATTAAAAAAAAAAAGATTTATGAAGAAACCCAAATACTTTCTTCCTCCATTATTTTCAGAGATAAAGTGATTTTGGAAGTTGAGAAAACAGATTATAGTTGTGCAAGTACTAAAACACTGTAGTGGTTGAAAAGACCCATTACTGAGATAAAGAAATGGGAGACAAGTATAGCATATATGAACTTTCCATTCTTTGTGAAACATGGCCTGTTAGTTTTTTGTTTTTTTTTTTAAATTAATTTATTTATTTATTTGACAGAGATCACAAGTGGGCAGAGAGGCAGGCAGAGAGAGAGGGGGAAGTAGGTTCCATGCTGAGCAGAGAGCCGGATGTGGGGCTCGATCCCAGGACCCTGAGATCATGACCTGATCAGAAGGCAGAGGCTTTAACACACTGAGCCTCCCAGGCACCCTGGCTTGTTAGTTCTTAAATCAGTGGCTAAAATTGGAAATTGGGATGTTTTTCTTAGATTCCAAAAGTACATATAGCATGTAAAGTAAATGCATTATACTCCTGTTATACATGGGGAGAAAGAGAACACTTTCTTAAGAAGTTAGGAATGTATTGTCAGGTCTATCACAACCAGATGCAGCTCTATCAGATTTATGAGATAAATCTCATAAGGCATTGAGAGCTGTTTTGTATTTGCCAATGTTGTTATTGTATTAGCACTAGTTTGTTGAGTCTGCAAAAGAGACAAAAGCTTGGAACCCAACACTTCACCATCTGGTTTCCTCCTACTGTAGGTAAACCTACAATAGGAGACAAAGAAAAATGCTCTCTTGTTAACTTCCCCTCATGGAGAATTATACACATAATCCCTTTTTTCCCCCCCGCACAGAATCCCATTTTGAAGAGCTCACTTTCTTGCATATTCAGGATATTTAATGTGTGCATGTTAGTTGCAGCCAGTTCCGATTACGAAGGACACTGTCAGGTCACAGTAATGACAGCAGCAGCTTACATTTATTGAACAATATGTTGTAAGCAGCTTCCATTTGTTAAGTCATTTAAAACCTGAGGCAGGTTTTATTACTTTTTTTTTTTTAAAGAACTTATTTATTTATTTGACAGATAAGAGATCACAAGTAGGTAAAGAGGGAGGCAGAGAAAGAGAAGCATGTAGCAGGTTCCCTGTTGAGCACATAGCCCAATGTGGGACTTGATCCCAGGACCCTGAGACCATGACCTGAGCTGAAGGCAGAGGCTTAACCCACTGAGCCACCCAGGCGCCCTGGTTTTATTACTCTTTTATATGTTAAAAAAGGAAGCACAGCTAGGTTAAACTGCCTGAGTTCACACAACTTGTACGTGATACCGCCAGAATTCAACCCCAGCGGTCAAGTTTGGGAGCTGCCTCTTGACCTAACATTTATGAGATTGTAGGAAGTTGTGAAAACACCTTTAATAGATGACAACTATTTGTAACCTGGAGCCCCTTTGTTCAAACAAAAATGCAGACGCCAGCATACAAAATAGGTAACGGTGTACCTGTTTAGTTTAAGTTAAGAGGGAGTGCTTCTTACACAACTCTCCTCATCCTCCACAGCTGTTTCTGAAGGAGTTCTGTGGAATTTGAGTCCCCAGAACAGCTTGCAAAACATTGATAATACAGCCTTCCCATTTTACAGATGAGAAGATGCACCCACGGAACCTGGTTGGCTCAGTCAATTAAGTGCCTTTGGCTCAGGTCATGATCCCAGGGTGCTGGGATCAAGTCCTGCATCAGGCTCCCTGCTCAGCAGGGAGTCTGCTTCTCCCTCTCTCTCTCTCCCTCTTGCTCACAGTTGCTCTCTCTAGTGCATGCTCTCTCTTGCAAACAAATAAAATCTTTAAAAAAAAAAAAAAAAGAAAGAAAAAATGTGCTCTCTCTTGCAAATAAATAAAATCTTAAAAAAAAAAAAAATGAGGTCAAGTTAATTTTTGCCCTTGCGTGATAGAGAACCATCAGAATAGTAAGGAAGAAGGAACATTGTTTATTCTTGGTTCACAAGATGAACTCTGTACTTAACATGTTTGGGAATATAGAACTACAAGTCATATTTGCTAACTTTAATCTCAGTGGGAATATTAGGCACAAATGAAACTGGAGGATTAGTACAGTAATTAAATGCTTCACTTTGCAGCTCACAGGGGGAGGAAATTAGTGAGTATAACAGGACTTGGGGAAGGTCTTATCAAGGAGCCAATGGGCTTTGATGGAGAGGTGGGATTTGATAGGTGAAGGGGAAGTAGAGGGTATATCAGCCATGAAATAAATGAAGGCACAGAAGTGGAAATAACACTGTTCTTGGGACAGTGGGGAGACTGACCTGGCACAAATAGAATATGTATGGAGGTAAAATGTAACTAGTACATACATGTCATAGGTACTACTATAACAGTGTGCGTGGGAAGGTTAAGCATAGAGGTTATGAGGAAATCTTTGAAGGCAAACAAATTATTAGATTAGATGGGTAGAAATTAGGAAATAATTAAAGATTCTCAAGTAAGGGACTTATGTAATGAAAACTTTTTTTAAAAAGATTTTATTTACTTATTTGACAGACAGAGATCTCAAGTAGGCAGAGACAGGCAGAGAGAGAGGAGGGGGAAGCAGGCTCCCTGCTGAGCAGAGAGCCCACTGTGGGGCTCGATCCCAGGACCCTGAGATCATGACCTGAGCTGAAGGCAGAGGCTTTAACCCACTGAGCCTCCCAGGTGCCCCTGTAATGAAAACTTCTTAAGAAAATTGGCAGTGGTGTGAGAAAGGATGAATTAGTAAAGTAACTTGTGCTAGGAAAATACTATTAAAACTCTCCATTTGTATATAACTTTTATGCTAATGGGAAAAAGTCATTTTTATTAAGGTTATTTTAATTCTTAAAAGGCCCAAGTGAAGCTGAAGAATTCCAGCTTGAGGTGAGTGGGCTACTAGGGGAGATGAACTGTCCATATCTATCACTGACATCTGGGGATGTGACCAAGCGCCTTCTCGTTCAGAAGAACTGCCTCCTTTTGCTCAGTAAGTTCATGGCTACTAGAATGTAGCTATTATTTTTTTATTCATGTTTTCTTTGACTAATAAACTGTTACACTATTTCATTATGGATTTATTTCAGAATGCTTCTTAAAGAAAACTATTACATTTCCAACTTAGAGCTAGTGGAGGGCCTGTGCACTGGTAGCAGCATTGTTTCATAATTTCTACTCTTCTATCATTTAACTTTGCTGGTACTGTTGTGCGTCACCTAATATGACCAAAGTTAGCGCCACGGTTCAAGTGTGTGATCATTAAACCTTAGCATTCTAGACTGGAAACACATTTTAAAATAGACTAGGAAGGTAGTGTGGGAATGATGAAGATTTTTTAGTAAAATTAAAGTGTTTTATATTGTGGATATTTCTTTGTGGTTGGGTAATTGTTTGGAGGTTTTGGTTTTGTTTGTAAATATATCAAAATTACAGTGTAAAATTTTCTAGAATAGTATTTGAATTGTTCCTGTGCTTACTGATCATTCTGGGAAGTAAATTGTTATGAAAATTCTTTCCTTCCATGTTTTTTATATACTAACTACTATTTCTTTCTTCACCCCGAAAAACAGTAAGTAAACTCACAAACTTTATTGCCTTAAATGAACTCTCCAGCAACCACAACCAATAGTCTTAACTCAGAATTTTTATAGCAGTCTGAGACACATTCAGAATAAGCTTTGGTTAAATGAATATTATAGTTCTTATATGACAAACACAGTACAGAGGATTTTTAAAATACTGTCTTTCCAACTGTACTGGTTTCGGAAAAACGAGACAGCTCCCATTTTGAAGTTTCAGTTTAAAAAAAAAAAAAAAGAAAATATATTCATTGCCATTATACCGAGGCACCGCGTTATTCCAGAGTCACTTAACATAATTTCCCCTTTGTTGAATGATTGTGGAGGACGGGAGGTGGATACATAGGTCAGACACTGCTTTAAATACTGAAATTGCCGCATGTTGTTCTTACGCATGCATTCAGTATCCTTCAGATTGTGTGATTTCTGTAACTGGCTCAGCCACAGTGTACTCACTCATTCTTCCTTTGTAACACTGCTTACCAAAACCTAGTATTTGGCACTCAGGATATGTTATCTTACATAGGAAGATAAGAATTTCATGGAAAACTTGCTAACAACCATGAATAACTAATTTCTTTCAAGGAGCTCAGAGTTTGGCCTGTTTAGTGTTCCGACTTACAAAGGCCACTTTGAATATGAATCTTTATAAAATGCCTCTGACTCCTTCCTGTTACTTAAAAGGACTGCCCTATTATTTTGGATTTGGGGTTACAATTTATAAGACTTTAATAATTTATCGCCTCAGTAATACACAACTATTTGCTTCTCAACTGAATGACTAAAACCAACTAAAGGTTATGCTGCTCTTGGAATTCATGGACACGTACACTATTCACTTCTCTTTTTCTTTGCTTTTGGCTGTTTCCCTTTTAAAATGTTTCCCTTAGTTTGTATTCTCTGTCGTGCTAGTATTTATGTGCTCATTCTCTTATTTTCTCTGTATAAATATTTCTCATCTTTCCAAGTATCAGTTGTCACCTTTTGATGCTATAATTTCACTTATTTCTCCAGCACACTTTACCTTACTGATTTGAATCTTTTAGTATGTTGTTCCAAGGGGGAAAATAACCAATCTCATTGAATTGTCAGTAAAATAGAATAGTCTTTGAATGGGCGGCTAAAAAACTCTCTTGTGTCTGGTGAAGAAGTTTTGGCTATTTATTGCCTCTCTGGTTGTCAGATTATTTCCCTTAGGTTAAAAAAAAAAAAAAAAAAAGTCAGATATCTGAGTTCCTAATAGATGAAGAATTACTCATCGTGAATGCGTATATTCTTTATTCCTAACTAGATTGTTAGTAGAGATCATCTGTTTTATTTGCTTTATATTATATCTCCAGTGTCCTTCCTGGTACTTTGAACACATCAGTAAGAGATAATGTTTTTTGATGGTAATTGTATTGTATTGGTGAACTAATTTTGTGGATGCCTGAGTTAATGTGGTCCCAAATTTAGAGAACCAGTTTATTAAATCATATGATTTTCTAGAACAAGGGTTGGCAAACTTTTTCTTTAAAGGTTGGGACAGTAAATATTTTCAGCTTTGTGAGCCATAGGGTCTTTGTCACAACTGCTTAACTTCCACTATTGTAGCATATACTAGCCATAAAGATTATGGAAATGAGTGTGTTAAAGTTCCAGTAAAATCTTTAGAAAAACAGTGGTTATTTTCATGACAGTGGTGTTTTACTTTTTTGATCTTTTAACTCCTATAGTTCGCTATACGGAACACACTAAGATTTTATCAAAGCCATTTAGAGTGACCTTTGCAGAAACTTAGCTGTATTTATTGTTCTAGCATTGCACCTTAGGTGTAGGAAATGAGATACTCAAGCTGATCATTCTTTTGAACTTTTAATAGGACTTAAGAGCCCAGAAAATATTTTTTCCAAAGCTATCATTCTAATGTTATCAGAAGGGTCTCACTTTGTCACATAACCTGAAGTCCTGAGATCCCTTTAACCATTTTTCATAAAAATTTAAATGTCCTTTCATAAAAATTTTAAAGTTAAAGGAATAAGATTGGATGTTTATACCCTCAGTTACCTGAAGCAGACTGCAGCTGTCATTATGCCTGGCTGGAATCAACACATGAGGGGATGACATTGATATCATTGATATTTTCTGTTAAGAAAAGATTAGAAGGTTTTGTTGATACTATTTTTCAGGAGTGGGGGGGAGAGTGAGGAAGGTAGGAAGAAAGGGAATACCGAGAAGAGTCTTTTATAGATGAAAGAAAAGTTTTCTTTAAACAGAGAGGGTGGCATTAGGCTACTGGAAGCCATGAGAAAGGAGCTTTGGGGAGTTTCGTGTCTTCCCCCTTTTGTAAGTTAAGTTTTGACCACTTGAAAATATTTTATGCCATTCTGAACAGACTGCCTAAGTATTGGAAGGTAAGAGAACAAGAGAGTTGTATCACTGGTGCATGTCAGTGGTGAGAAGTAAACAATAAAAACCGGTTCCAACTGTTGCTGAAGTTGGCTACCTTCCACCTTTTGTAAAGTTGTTAACAGATGCCAACCCCTGTTCTGGAGTTCCTAAATAGTGGGTTATAAGAATCCAGATTTTTAGATGTGATCTACCTTGATGCTTTGGTTTCAAAGAAGAATCACTTATTTATAAATTACCCTTTAAACATATATTGATTAAATACCTGAATTACAGAACCAGTTTATATGTTATGTCATTTGCAGGTAAAAATGGTTTTCTTTTCTTGTTTTTATCCATTCTTGCAGCTTTAAAAGTTACGTATCATTAGGTCTATAGAGTTGTGACTCCAGACTTATGATTATTAACTGTAGCTGTATCTCATTTTGAAATCTTATTTTGTTTACTTCAGCATACCTCATCTCAGAACTAGAAGCTGCCAGAATGCTCTGTGTGAATACTCCTCCAAAAAAAGCTCAAGAAGGAGGCGGTAGTGAGGTCTTTCAAGAGTTGAAAGGCATATGTATTGCTCTAGGAATGTCCAAACCTCCAGCCAATATAACTATGTTCCAATTCTTCAGCGGGATTGAAAAAAAAGTAAGACCTTTAGTACCAGATTGTAGTGTATTAAAGGCATAGTCCTACATTTGTTTGAAATGAAGCAAGTTAATTTCTCTTAATGGGAACCTGATGTGCTTATTATTCATTGTACTAAATGAGTTTTGGGTTTTAAATCCTCAATACCTTAAAGAGAAATTAGTATTTTTTTTTTAACTTGTTAGCATGTTTCTTTTTCAAAAAGGAAAATTTACACTTTGATTTATAAGCTGAAATAAGCTAGGTATAATGTAAAAGGAATGAAGACTTAAGTCCTTTTTAAAATCTTATCATTGAACTTTGATGCAATTTTTAAGTACTCGATCATTAAATGTTACCACCCTCTTTTCATTGACTGGACAGAATGGGATGTAAATGTTTTTGGTTTTTAATCCAGTCATTTGAATCTTATGTTTCAATTGGCAAACTAGGTTTATTGACTACTAACATAATCTAGTATGTGAAAATAAGTCAGAATTATTTTTATGCCACACATTAATAGTTAAGAGGTTTTTTTAAATATAATTGACTAGGAATAAGCAACTTTAATAAATTAATGACTATAAGAATGATATTTATTATAGCAGAGTTACTCTCTGTATGCATATCTGCTGGACTCCAAGAATTGGTACATTTGCATTGTGGGGTAGATGGACACCATGATGCACAAATTTGGCTGAACTCTACAGGGGAGCAGCACTGTATCCATAGTCCATATTTTTCTGTGTGTTCATTCATCCATTCAACAAATACACATTGAGTGCCTACTGTTGTCAGGCACTGTTCTAGGTACAGTGAAGGAATCATGCTTCCTTAGGCACGTGAGGAGTGGGACAAGTGAGTGTCTTTATCATGTGGGTCCTGTACATTTCAAAACATCCTCCACCTTTGCCTCTGTCAGGAATCTTCTTTTGATGGCAAGATATGATGGGAATTGGGAAGATGAGGAGGATATGTTGTACTTTTAGATTTGTTTATTCATTCATTTATGTGTTTGTGTCAGTTAAAGGAGACATTAGCAAAAGTTCCACCTAACCATGTGGGAAAGCCTTTATTGAAGAAGCCAATGGGACCAGCCCACTGGGTGAGTAGCAGTCATCTTGAGTACTCTTGGTAAAGAACCACTTAACCTATCTCATGATGTTGACACAGTTTGTGCTGTTGAGGTTATGTTTTCCAATATGTAGTTTCCTAGGTGGACATTCTTAGACTCCATTTTTGTGAATCTGAAGATTTATTCAGAATAATTTTATTTGTGGAAGGTTAGAAACACTTACCTCATAATTTGTAAATATTTCACAAAGCTGGTCAAAATAAATTGAAGTTCAGTATGTTTTTAATTGCCAGATGGGTTGCCTTCAAGCCAAAAACGTCATTGGGCTCAACTTCACAAGGCAAATTATGGGAAGGCTAAATAAGAATTCTCTACTTAATCTTTATTATGTTTTGAGGCATTATTTAGCCTATTATTTAATCAACTTATAATAACTTTTAGTAGTATATTAAGTAAATTGTTTTGTGTTAAGTGCTAGGGAATCAGTTATGAATAAAAGAGACACGGTCTCTGCCCTTTTGAAACAGTGTGTCAGGCACATTTAAATTCTAACTGGTCTTTCACATTTCCTTTTTAGGAAAAGATAGAAGCAATTAACCAAGCCATAGCCAATGAATATGAAGTTCGGAGAAAGCTGCTAATAAAACGTTTGGATGTCACTGTCCAGTCTTTTGGCTGGTCTGACAGAGCTAAGGTACATATTAAATATTTTATTTATTATTTATTTATTTATTTATTTATAAATACACAAGCTGTATAAGTACACAAGCTGGGGGGAGGGGCAGAAGGAGAGGGTGAATCCGACTCCCTCAGAACGGGGAGCCTGATGATTTACTGCTCCATCCCCGGTACCCTCAGTTCATGACTTGAACCAAAGGCTTCTGCTTAGCCCACTGAGCCACCCAGGCACCCCATAGTAAATATTTTTAAAGTGCAGAATATTTATAGACATGAGACTTAAACATTCATAGCACAGGTTAGATACAGTGAAAACTAAAGAGAAATGCATAGGAGACACACAGGAAGTTGTCTTCAGTGAGTTGTTGAGTAGCAATTCTTTCGGCCTTCCAGGAATAATGAAAACATTATTTTTCACTTTTTAATATTTTTTAACAAAGTGATATCTTTTAGACCCTACTGGGAGGACTTACTTGTAAGAGAAACAGAGTATTTGAAAATCACTAAAAGACTAAATATCACTAAAATAATTTTTTTTTCACTAAAACAATTTTTATATTACTCATTTACTATACTTAAAGCTAACAGTTTCATTTGCTAATTAAAATTAGAAATACTGGATTTAGCAAGACCAGATATTACTAAATATTTATAGAGAATTGGAGAATCTAGTAAGACTTCAGTTTTACTTAAGACTAGTTGAGATAATCCAGGTAAAGATCTTGGTCATTCAACAGGTATTTATTAAGTATCTACTATATGATCAGTGAGCAGAAAGTAATTGGTACAAATGACTTCACATCCTTAGGACCCTGAAATGGAATTAATCCTTGAATTTATGGAGAGGTTGGTCCATTTGTGTATTATATGTTCCCTTAATAGTGCATTCATGTTTGAAAACAGATTTTTTTTTTGACTCCCCAAAAAATTTTTATGTAGTTTTTTTGTTTTTTAAGATTTTATTTTTTTTTAAGAGGGAGAGAGAGCTTGAGAGGGGAGGTCAGAGGGAGAAGCAGACTCCCTGCAGAGCTGGGAACCCCAGGTGGGACTCGAACCCGGGACTCTGGAGACATGACCTGAGCCGAAGGCAGTCACCCAACCAACTGAGCCACCCAGGTGCCCTATGTAGTTCTCCTAAATAATGTTATTTTCACCTAAAATCTTTAATCCTTGGCACAGCCCTGTTTGGCTGCAAAATTGTTCGGGAAGGTATTTACCTAATTACAATATTTCAGTGTTGGAAAAGGGTGTTAGAGATCAGTCTTAACTCCCCTCATTTTGCAAGTGAAAAACAAAACAACTGAAGACCAGTAAATGGGAGGCTTTGTCTGAGATCTCACAGCTAGTCAGTAGCAACACCAGGAGCAAATTGTTCTCTCCTGTGGCCGTTGTGTAGGAAACAGCTGTCCTTTTCCTATGTTATCTTTGATAGAAACAATCATTCAAAAACAAGAGTCTGCACCTCTTAGCTAAAAAACTGTCTACTTGATACTGTGCAGCAAGTGAGGCAGTAATACTGTGGTTCTTCACAGCTGTGTCTTAGGGTATTTCTTGACTAGGTAGGAACAATGGTGAGTATAACTTTTATCTGCCCATCTTAAGCCTAATAACTATTATTATCAGACATTTTGGGAGTCTTTAGCTTATTTAATATCAATGTTTCTGGGGCACCTGGGTGGCTCCATTGATGAAGCGTCTGCCTTCAGCTTGGGTCGTAATCCCGGGGTCCTGGGATTGAGCCCAACACTGGGCTCCCTGCTCAATGGGGAGTCTGCTCTCCCTCTCTCTCTCCCTCTATAAGAATGCCCTCTCCCTCTGTAAGGCGCCTGGGTGGCTCAGTTGGTTAAGCAACTGCCTTCGGTTCAGGTCATGATCCTGGAGTCCTGGGATCCAGTCCCACATCAGGCTGCCTGCTCAGCAGGGAGTCTGCTTCTCTTGCTGACCGCTCTCCTCTCATTCCCTTTCTCGCTCTCAAATAAAATCTTTTTAAAAAAGAAAAGAAAGAATGCCCCCTCTCTCTCTAGCTCTCATTCTCTCTTAAATTAAAAAAAAACAAAAAAACAGTGTTGTCATTTTGAAAATTGACTTTTGTCTTTGAACACTTTGTTTCAACAGAGTCAGACAGAGAAATTAGCAAAGGTTTATCAGCCAAAACGTTCAGTTTTGTCTCCTAAAAGTACTATTTCTGTTGCCCACCTTTTGGCTGCAAGACAAGACTTGTCGAAGATTTTAAGGACAAGCAGTGGCTCTATAAGAGAAAAGACTGCCTGTGCCATCAATAAGGTGATTGAAGTACCTTTAATTTTCTTTCAGATACATTCATTTCTATTTATAAAATACAGTAGTTTAAAATAGTTTTCTTATCCCATAGGTGTTGATGGGCAGGGTGCCTGACAGAGGAGGTAGACCCAATGAAATTGAACCTCCACCTCCAGAGATGCCACCGTGGCAGAAAAGGCAAGATGGCCCCCAGCAGCAAGCAGGAGGCCGAGGAGGAGGGAGAGGTGGTTATGAACATTCCTCATATGGAGGACGAGGAGGTCATGAACAAGGAGGAGGGAGAGGTGGACGTGGTGGCTACGACCATGGTAGCCGAGGGGGAGGAAGAGGAAATAAACATCAAGGAGGCTGGACAGATGGAGGGAGTGGAGGAGGAGGTGGCTACCAAGATGGTGGTTATCGAGATTCGGGTTTCCAGCCAGGTGGCTATCATGGTGGTGGCCACAGTGGTAGCTATCAAGGCGGTGGTTATGGTGGCTTCCAAACATCAACATATACAGGAAGTGGATACCAGGGTGGTGGATATCAGCAGGACAATAGATACCAAGATGGTGGGCACCATAATGATCGAGGCAGTGGTCGTGGAGGGAGAGGGGGTCGCGGAGGCCGAGGTGGACGTGGAGGCCAGGGAGGAGGTTGGGGGGGGAGGGGGAGCCAGAATTATCACCAAGGGGGGCAATTTGAACAGCACTTCCAGCATGGAGGTTATCAGTATAATCATTCTGGATTTGGACAGGGAAGACATTATACTAGTTGAGGCTACAAAACCTTATACTTTTGCTAGAGCTCAAGTAATAGAAACTTAGTTTCAGAATCCTGAGTCCAGCATCAATTTTGAATTAATGTGAGCCCACAGGTGGCAGGCAGATTCCTGCTTGGGATACGTATTTGTAGGTCTTCATTCAGTTCAGTTGGGTTTGTTTGTGGGTTTGTTGTTTTTGTTTTTTTTTTTAAAGGACTTACATAATGAAGTTTGTTTGAGAAACACGTACAACATCTCCTTTATATAAAGAATTTTTTAAAAGGTAATTAAAATTGCCTTTAACTGACCAGTAGACTAATTCCACAGTCAGAACATGCATACTTTTTTGGGAAGAAATTACTTGAATAAGTTTTCAAAAAGGGGTTTTTTGGAAATGAGGATTCTCCTAGATTTTTTTAGATTTTCAGCTAGGAAACTTTCCTCATATTAACAGTCCATTTGTATGTGTTTTCCTGAAAGTATTCTAACACCTATTTTCCAAGCACAGTTCTGCCCTGATTGGCTTTTTATTCAGAGAGGTTATGCCACATTTGCTTCATGATAGACTCTTAAGTCAGTTCCTATTAAATGAGCTCTTCTGCAGATAGCACATTCAGTAGCCTTATCCTTTTGATGGAATACTGTACCATATGCTCAATTCTGAAAACCTTGAACATGGCCAAAATCCGTAAAGATTATAAAAGCAAAAACTAAGTTGTGAACCTATAGTACATGTAGGCATTTATATAGTATAGCAATTCAGACTGACCTGCATCCATTCAAAACAAGTTCCTCCTTAAACCTTATTTTTACTTGAAATCTGTTAGAAGAAACAGCAAACTGAAATTTGTTTTATGCACGAGTTAATACCACTGGCTCAGCAAACACAAGTTAGTTTGCCTTGGGCAGGAGACTTTTTTTGTAATGGAAGAAATGCACTACCAAGTAAGAGGACAGATTTTTGCTTAGTGCAGGAGGCCCTTTATTATTGCTGCAGAAAACAGAAGCCTGGCTGAGTTGATGTTTTACATTCTCCTTTACTGAAACCGACATGAAGCTTCTTGCTGGGTTTTTGTATACATAAACATTGTCAAGCTGTGAAAGAAAATGGCTGGAGGTGTGCTTTGTGTGAAAGGTGAGCAATAAAGTATCTGTATGTTCTCTCTCTGGTTTGAGTTTTATTTTAGCTACTTCTAAAAACTGAGCTCATGTTTCAAGTTGTTTCAAGCTTATGAGCCAAGGCATCTGCCCCCCCCCCAAATTCTTGAGTGTTTCTTTAGAACAATTTGTAATGAAAGATAACCCTTACCCTACAACCGTAAATAAATCGAAAAATCCCTATTTCTAAATTTACCTTTTACCATAACATTATAGCTGCAAAACTTCACTACTCATTTCTGGCCACTGGGTGTAGCTGTTGTTACACAATGTATTAGACAAAGCTAAATTAATGACCCTAATCTTTCAGCATGGTTTTTGGTTTTGTTTCTCCCTTTTTCCTAAGAATGAGGGACATTTCTCTTAAAAGGAAGTGAGTTAAAAATATGTTTGTAAAAACAGAAATAGTATTTCCTTTTCCTACTAATTTAGGCCTTTTAGAGTAAAGAATCAAGTCATGTCTTACCATAGAATAGTAATATTCTATTTGCTATTGAGATAAGCACATTCTTTTGGTACCTAAAAACCAAGTTGAAAGCCTGCCTTGATCATTTTGTTAATTTTACTTGTATATTAGATTTTTTTGGCTAGGCTTCCCCATTCTAAAATGTTCAAACTTGAAGAAAATTTAAAATACTTTTTCTTATTATTAAAGATTTTAAGGTCTGTCTTGAAAGTTGTATTAATCTCCATGCTGTTAAATATGTTTAGTATGTATAGGAGTTTCCTATTAGAGATAAAATTGACAAGGTTTCCTATCTTAGAATGTATTCACCTTTACCTTAGCTTTTGCTTTAATCTGTTTTGTAACCAAAGACTCCACAATATAGCTAATGAATATGTTTCATTCTTTTGACAAATATAATTGATTTATTTTCATGGTTAATACATTGCTTTTCAAATTTGCACATATAAGCAAGCAAATTATACATTTCTCCATGATGGCTCAAATTTGCATTTCATTTACTGTTGCAAACTAGAATTTTTCCCCCCATTATAATCCCAAAAAAGAACTGTCTCTTAGTCTCTCCTCTTTTGACACAAATTAAGTTCTCAGATAGGATTTCAAACCACCAGTTAGTTTGTTATTATATCAAAATAAAGTTCTTAAATTTTGTGTAGAATGTGTCTGGTGATTTTACACACATTCTTAACTTTAACTTGTAGTAAGTAAGAACTTACTGGGAATGTGGGAATTTCTTGGAGAAACAGGAAAACAAAAATTTTAGGGAATATTTGGTCTATGAAATCTTAAAATGCTATTACTTGGACAGATTGAGAAAAACAGTACCTGTTGTTAGTGCTTTGCTTCTTCCCTATACCAGGAACTAAGACAGGATGTCAACATTCTCTATGAAAATTATCAGAGAGATGCCACTATCATTTTCATTTCTTGCTCTGGATCCAAACTGAGCTAGTGTCCAACTGTGCTGGACATAGAAGAATTAAATAAATTCTTGCTAAGGGAAAGCATTTGAAATCATTTCTATGTATACCTAACCTGTCTTCCCACTTCCCAAATCACTTGTATTCTTTTTATTTTAGGTAGTGCCCTACCTACCTTCCTGGTAGGTGAAATAGTGAATATGAAGTATTATTTACCTGTATTATACCCTTTTGAAAATAGTTTTTGAATGTATGTATATAATTTAACTCTCAAGTACTTTGAATGGTATTTGATTAATTTTAATAGGGCCATTGGGTTTAATTAAAAAATACATCACAGGGTCACCTAATGTTGTATATAAAATGTCCTTTTTTTCCTGCTCTTTTTGTTCAGTGCTCCATTTCCACATTTGGATCCATTAACATATGCCCACAGTTCAAACCCCTGATGAAAGCAGATATGCATGTCAGTGTTTGAACTCACTCATTTACTTCAGATACTTTTAGTCACCTGTAAAAGTATGTTGGTAAAGATGTTGCATAAACACAGCTGTTGGCATGAGTACTTCCCCAGTATATCCTTTTCTTCCCACTAAATGTAAATGAAGAGACTGGGATGGAACTGGAGTAAAACATTTTTTTCACATGTTCCCCAGGAATTTGAGGGGAAACATTAAAAAATACAAAGGTAAGTTAGAAAGTCTTGTCTTGGAAAATGTGCAGACCCAGAAACAAATAATTATCGCATAAAATAAGAAAAAATGAAAGTTATGCCAGGGACCTAAGGTAGCAGTGTTCAGTATTGCTCATATGAAATGGAAATGGGCAGAAGTTGGAAAGGTGGTAGAGGCTGGTTAATAGGAGGCTCTACCTGGTTTATGTACCTCAGTATACCAGGGTATGCAACATGGTCAGACCTGGATTCTATATAAATCATTGGCCAGAGGAGAATAAATTTAAGGAGAGACAAAGACTGGAATCAGAAGCATAGAGCTTAAACTATTGTATATAATGACAGGGATGGGGGATGATTTCAACCTGAAACTTGGAGAAATGTCTGGAGACAGATTTGGGAATGATCGGCATCCAGTGATTTGCATTGGAATAATCAGAATAGTGATTCTGTATTAAATTACCCAAGAAGGGGACAGAGCACCAAACCAATGATAAGATCTTGGGGAATCATTTAAAGGCTGATGGAGCAGGGTCACAGAAGCAAGAGGAAATCAAGAGCAGCATGGGAATCTAGGTTTAGTAGTAAGGGCAGTAGTCTGCTACACTTCAAGAGCCTTGTGTTACCCCAGTTTGACACATAGAATAAAGCCCAGGATGGTTGAGTAGACTGTCCACATCCACGTAGCCAGTAAGCAGGGAGCTGAAACCAAACCCAGCCATCTGGCTCCAGAGCTCAGTAACCAACAATTCCAGATGCTACAGAGATTCAGCAAAATATCCATTACATCTTGTGATCTTTTCAATAGAACTTTCGGAATAAACTAAAGCCAGCTTACTGGAATTTAAGGAAGGAAAGACATGAAAGTAAGTTTAGACTTTCCAGAAGCTTCACTGGAAGAGAAGGACAGAGTAAAATAATAATGTAAAGCTTAATGGGATGAAGTGTATTCTGAGAGGTTACGAAAAGGCAAGGAAATTTTCAAGAAAATAGAAGTTAATATCCACAAGAACCCAAGATAGTCAACTGCATAGTTCTCTAGGAATTCAAAGCAATCCTATCTTTCATTGATTATACCTTAATGCCTTTTTTTAAAATGAGGTATTTACAAGATGGTTGAGATAAATTAGATTTTCATGGGGAAAAGTTGTGAAAAGTACAAACAATTCCTCAGAACAGATGGGTTTACTCCCAGTTTTGCATAGTTTCCGGCACTCACCACAGCCTTAATCAGCACTGGCTCTAATGTTTCCTAAGGCATTCCTGCTTCAGAACCCTCTTTCTCAATGGAGACCAGTTGTGGGGTATAGAAGATCAATCACAAATCAACCTCATTTATAAACTACAGAGAAATTTGTTTCATTCTAACTGATCTTCAATTATCAGAGATTAGTGAAAAAAAATCTTAATGAAACAAGTAGAAAGTAAATCCCAACCTTAAGGTGAGCTATTTTGTAATCTCATTTACAATGATCATGAGATAACAATAGTTTTAAATCTTCCAGTGCTGAGAACAGTTGCCTCCTACCCTGTTAGTTAAGTGCTTACCATGGAAAAACAAAAGTAATGGAAAGTATGTTTCCTTTTCACCAAAATACTAGCCAATAGGATCCAACAGTACATTAAAAGGATTATTCACCACAACCAAGTGGGATTTATTCCTGTGCTGCAAGTTTAGTTCAACATCCACAAATCAATCAATGTGGTACATTAAAGAAAAGACAAGAACCATATGATCCTCTCAATAGATGCAGAAAAGGCATTTGAAAAGTACAGCATCCTTCTTGACAGTGTAGGGGTAAAGGGTACATACCTTAATATCATAAAAGCCATCAGCGAATATCATTCTAAGTGGGGAAAAACTGAGAAGTTTTCCCCTAAGGTCAGGAACGTGGCAGGGATGTCCACTATCACCACTGCTGATCAACACAGTACTGGAAGTCCTAGCCTCAGCAATCAGACAACAAAAAGAAAGAAAGAAAAGTCATCTGAATAGGCAAAGAAAAAGTCAAACTTTCACTCTGCAGATGACAGGATACTGTATGTGAACAACCCAAAAGACTCCACCCCAAAACTGCAGAACTCACACAGGAATTCAGTAAAGAGTCAGGGTATAAAATCAATGCACAAAAATCAGTTGCATTTCTATACACCAACAATAAGAAGAAAGAGAAATTAAGGAGTAAATCCCATTTGCAATTGCCCCCAAAACCATAAGATACCAAAGAATAAGTCTAACCAAAGAGGCAAAGGATCTGTACTCAGAAAACTATAGAAAACTCATGAAAGAAATTGAGGAGGACACAAAGAAATGAAAAAATGTTCCATGCTCATGGATTGGAGGAAACAATATTGTAAAAATGTCTTATGCCACCTAGAGCAATCTACACATTCAATGCAGTCCCTCTCAAAATACCATCCACTTTTTCACAGAAATGGAACAAATAATCCTAAAATTTTTATGAAACCAAGAAAGACCCTGAATAGCCAGAGCAATATTGAAAAAGAAAACCAAAGCTGGTGGCATCAAAATTCCAGACTTCAAGCTCTATGACAAAGCTGTAATCATCAAGACAGTATGGTCCGGGCACAAAAACAGACACATACATCAATGGAACAGAATAGAGAGCCCAGAAAGGAACCCTCAACTCTACGGTCAACAAATCTTCAACAAAGCAGGAAAGAATGTCCATTGGAAGAACAGTCTCTTTAACAAATGGTGTTGGGAGAATTGGACAGCCACATGCGGAAGAATGAAACTGGACCATTTCCTTACACCACACACAAATAATGGACCCAAAATGGATGAAAGACCTCAATGTGAGACAGGAATCAATCAAAACCCTTGAGGAGAACACAGGCAGCAACCTCTTCAACCTTGGCTGTAGCAACTTCTTAGACACATCACCTAAGGCAAGGGAAGCAAGACCAAAAATGAACTACTGGGACT